TCTTTAGGAGTACTGCAATAGCCAGACTATGATCCTCAGGGTATCCGATCATGCGATCTTCGAGAGTAACAAAATATGATCCTAACGAATCGTATTATAGCATTTATCATTCATGAGAGCTCCATTTCCATTTCGAAGAGCATCAAATGTTGGTCTTCCTTTCATTTGCCAGCTTTTAGAGGTTTTTCATGATGCCCCAAAACTTTTTTTTTTTATTTTTCCTTTTTTTTGTTACCATTTTTATTATAATCTTTTTCTTTTTGCGGCCAGCTTGCGGCTAATTACTTCGGCAACGTTGCAACGTGGCCGCTGGACCCCCCGCGAATGAAAGTGAGACCTGGACGACGACCAGAGGCAGAGGCAGTAATTACGCCTAGTATTGCGCCAAAAAAAGACTCTACATAAAACCGTTTTGGTTTTAAGTGTAAAGTTTTTAGTTTTTAGTTTTGGTTTCCACTAAAAGTAAGCCCCATTGTGCGGCGTGGCAAGGCCCGCCGTGGCCTGCGTCTTCCGTGTTTCTGTGTCGATGTTCGGGGGTGTGGCCACGCCTTGTCTTGACTCTGCATTCATGGGGTTATTTAACATAATTATTGTGATTGAATTTTTCGCAGCTTTCCGGGACAGAGACAGAGACTGAGACAGAGACAGAGACGGCGTGCAACCTGCAACATGTGTAAACATTCAACCATTCAACAGGCACATAAATTGCAGTTCCGATTCGATTCCGACGTGACTGCCACAGCCAGGCTAAATGGTATCCCCTCCCCACCCCCTCCCCCACTCACTCTCTCTTTCCCTCTCTGTCTGTCAATTATTATGCGATTTGCATTCACTCATTTTAAAGCCTCGTTTCGTGCCTCAAATACACCGAAACTCAAAATTTGCATATTTGTTGCGGGGGGTTTTTTGTTGTTATTGTTGCTGTTGTTTTTTTTGGGTGTGGACTTGCAGACTGGTAGTCGAATTGTGGATTGATTTATGCCGCTCTTTGATTGATGTCTTGATGGGTTAACAAACCAGCCAAATGATGGGCCAATTAAGTGGATAAATATTCAAGAAAATATTCACTATTGATAGACATTAATTGCGAGACGGAGAGAGTGGTGAGTGGAGAGGGGAGCGTGGAGCGCGGGGGGAAGCAGAATTTCCTCAAGGCTAAAGTCTTGACAAAGCCCCCAAGGCCCCCCACTTTCCGCAAAGAATGCGATATCTTTTCCCTTTCAAACAGATCGACAGATGTTTCCCACACTCTACTTTAACCTTCAACCCATACAAGAGACCCCATACCCCATACCCCATGCCCCCCCTCCATCCTGGGGTCTGCAAAACAAATAACATTTCCCAAGAATAAACAACATAATTGAAGGAGGGAGAGGGGAGTGCTGGGGAGTGCAGGGGAGTGGAGCCACAGCCACAAATCATAATAATAATCATAACAATAATGAGGCATAATTCAATGCAATTCCATTGCATTTGTTTAACTTCAAAAAAAAAAAAACTTGTTCGGGAATAGGAGCACGAATACCCTTACCTTGGGGCTTAAGGGACTGCTTGGGAGGAGGAGACCCCTGCCCACTCGCTCTGCTTGCAGGTTGGAAACAGAGGAGAAGCTTTAAACAGATATCCCATTTTCATTGGGTGCGTTTCCACACGATTGTGTCTAATTATATCCAAATCGGAGCACTCTATTCTGGCAGGACCCCTGCCCACTCGCTTCGCCCGCTCGCGCAAATATGAGTCTTCCTCTCATACATTCCTAATGAGAGTAGGTATTGCCATCACACTTTATGGCTTGTAATTGAACATATTTCAACACTATAATTGGACCCCAAAGATGGTCTTTGTTTCTGCCGAGAGCCCCCAAAGGAAAGAAGAGGAACAGAGGAAGCGGCAAAGGAAGGAAACATTTACACAAATCGAAACTCGAAAACTACAAATGTCAGGCGTCCAGGCGTCCAGTCGTCGACTTTGCAGAAAAATAAAGTATTAAAAGTATATAATTTTGGTTTTCTGTGTCGCTTTTGCCGTAGTCCAGACACAGGCACGGGCACGGGCACGTCGTAAATTTGATTTGGTTTATTTTCATTTGCTCTGCTCTCCGGCCTGCTCTCTGCCTCATTTCGGTCACTTTCATTTGGGTTTTCGAGTCGCCTTTTTTTTGGGGGGGGGAATCGGAGCAGTCTACCGTTTTCTGAACGGAGCTGACTTTCGTGAACTCTGAGGAGTTGAGGGCGCATAAATTTCACTTTTACTTTTCGACCCTCGCGCTCTCTCGAGTTGGGTTTTTTTTCTGCTGTTTACTGCTTTTCTGATTTTATATTTTTTTTATATAAACATATTTCTTTATGGCAGCTACTTATGACCCCTTACCCCTGATGAAGGCGAGAAGGGAAGAGATCTGCGGAGCAGGAAGGAGAGACATATGCGCCGTAGTCCGAAACACTGAGAAAAAAACAGAGCTACAATATGGAGAACTCATCTTTACAGTCCCACATTTCATTATTCCTTGGGGGGTTTTCAGTTTCAGGCACTACACAGAGCGAAACTTGAGGCAATTTGGAGGCACTCAAGAGGAGATTTTCCAGAGTTGCCGATTCCAAGAGATGGTCCAGAAATGATCGGAATTCCTGATTGAAATGAAACATTCCAAGAATTCCTACAATCCCCTGATCTTTAAAGGCAATTCCTTGCAAAAGCAAAAGATTCCCATTCAATATTGGAGGGCTTTCCTTCTAGAAAGATCTGATAGATCCCTACTGGGTATAAAAGAATGCGAAAATGGAAATAATCTTCCAGAAGATCCAAAGAAATCTCCAACATTTCGGACTCCTAGACTTTTTCTCTCAGTGTGCCTACAGTGTATGACATTTAGAGCCGCCTCGCAGCCCCCTTTTGAGCGTTTTGTTATCCGTTTTTCTGTTCCGGCTGTTAAGGAGTTGTCGTCGCCTTCGTTTGAAGTCTTTAGCCGCGGCCGCGGCCACGGCTGCTGATGGAGCTTATCCTTTATGGCCAGAAATTAGTGGCATGGTGCGGCCTGGCATGGGGCATGGGGCATGACCAATGTAGAGCAAATCTCCCGCTTTGGGGGCAGCGCGTCAGGAAAGTGTTGAAAATTTGCCACAGCGCCCCGGGGGGGGATCCAGCGCCCACATGCAGCCGCACAAATTATCCATGGGATCGCAGAGCGGAGAGCGGAGAGCAGGAGGAGGATGCAAATTATTGCATCAGAGAGCCGAAAGTGCAGTGCATTGCAGTGCAGAAAATGAAATTGTTTCTTGGCCAACAACCAAAATCTCGTGGCGGAGCAGAGCAGAGCAGAAGGCGGTAAATGGTGGCCATTGAGCCGGAGGCCGGGCCGGGCCAGGCCAGACCAGGCCAGGCTCCAAATGAAGCGGTTTACAAAAACGAAACAAAAAACGTGAACTGCTCCACAGCCAGAGGGGTTTCGAACAGTAGAGGAAGGAACGTGGCTTATAGAGGAAGGAAGGAAGGAGGCTTATGGCCTATAGAGGTAGGTGGATCGATGTGCAGCCGGAGTGTGTGTTTGGGTCAGAGAGGAAGCTGCTACTGCAACAGATGCAGCGCTACAGAGCTACACAGCTACAGCTGCTGAATGGCTGCTTCAGATCCAGTGCGTGTCTCGAATGATTTACAAGGCACGAGGCCAGAGCATTTTGCTCTCTTCCTTCTCTGTAAATTACACACAATTAACAGAGAGAGGGGGGGAGGGAGAACTGTAACCAGGAAACGTTTAGAGCCAAGAAAAGAGGAGGATCCACACCGAACGTTCGTTCGGACGAAAACTGGGCCAATGTGTTGTGTCTATAAGGCAAATTGACTTTCACTTGGATCTAAAGCACGAGGCGGATGGAATGGAATGGGACGGAATGGAATGGAATGGAATAGATGCCCCAAAGAGGAATGGCCGGCACATTAGTAAAAGTTAGAATATCAAGAGAATATGGATAAGAGAGAGGAAACAGGAAGTAAACTCCGTAGAGCTTTGAATACCTTCAAAGGGAAGCCTATATTTCCCCCAAGATCTTTTTGTTCTATATGCATTTCCTTTAAGTACAGGAATTGTACTGTTGGATTGGGCATAAAACCCCATGAGAATGAGAACAAAGAGTCGGGAAATGCGATGGAGATTAGTAACTGAATGTCTATGGGGATTATCCTCCCAAATATTGAGATATATGCGATGAGAAGGATTATAAATGGTTATGTGTTCGATCAGCTTTAAACACATACTTCAGTAAGGCGAGTGAGCCGGGGGTTGGTGCAGGGCACTCGCCGCTAGTCTGTGAAAAGTCATCCCAAGTTCTTCGCCTTCCAATGCCAGAAGACTGAGAAGTAGACATGACTTCCTTCGGAGCTTTTCCCCTCAAAATGGTATGGAGATGGCATCTATCGTGGGGTCTACAGGGTGCTCTTGTTCTTTATCTTTATCTGGAAAAGCTTCTTCCCATCGAACAGGAACCCAACAGAGACCAGCCACACCTTTTTCTTTTCCACAGAGAGGGAAAACTCAGCTGCACTTGAATTGCAGTTTCTGTTTCTGTTGCAAGAGACAGCTTTCCCGATGTCGCATTTTTTGTCGCATTGCCGGCATTTTCACTAAATGAATTAATTAAATCACTCCGAATGGGAGTTATACAAAAACGTAATTAGAAATTTCCACAATTGGAACGGCTCCAACGACAGCAGCGGCATCGATCCGACGGCGAGGAAAGCGGCGCCAAATGCATTTTCTTTCTTTCCGAGAATCCGTGGTATGCCCCGCCGGCACGAATTGCTTTTCAATTGCTTTTCCTCCTCTGGTCCCTGCTGGTCTTCCCCTCCTCGAAGCTAATCCCCACCGAAGAAGCATCTCTTTCCAAGGGCAATGAGTATAAATTTACAACGGAATCAAGTTCAAAGTGTCGATAAGCGATAAGGCAAAAGGTGTCACGCGTCATGCGGAGGCACCTCTCTGCCAGGCACCTACGGGGAGTACTTACCGCTGTGGAGCTCCGCTTGCGCAGTAGATTATCGAGGCACAACTGCAGCTCGAATGCCTTGAGATAGAGCAGATGATAGCGATCCCTCAGCCTCTCCAAGTTCCCTTCGCCCTTCTTTGACGTCGGTGCTGGAGCTACTGCTGCAGCTGTGGCTGCTGTTGCCGCTGTTGCTGCTGTTGCCGCTGCTGATGTGGCACCAACGACGGGAGTGTTGACCGCAGCGTAAGAGGCAAAGCCGCTGCTCAAACTGCTGGACTTTGTGGCCGAATCGCTGGCCGACTCACTCGAGCAATTGCTGGTCAGCGATGCCGGTTGCTGCTGCTGCTGCAGTTGCTGTTGCTGCTGTTGCTGTTGCAACTGCTGTTCCTTTTCGGCGGCACGTATGCAAGAGCTTACCACTCGGGCGTGTGATACAATTTCATGGTACAACACCTGGAAATACACACAAGGCGGAAAAAAGAGAAAGAGAAATGAGAAATGAGCAATGCACGGCTCGAGGTTTAAGTTTAAGTTAACATGACACTTGGTTGATATGCCTAAACAGCTAATTGATTAGTCATTAGAGGCGGAGCGAGGGAGAAAGGTAATTCGATATCGAAAATGCGAGCGGGCGAACATTCACTCCTTATACGAGAGAGGTCTGGCATCTGGAGTATCTAATCGGAAGAGCCAGCGACATTTCTTCCCAATTCAACCATGTCTCACGCGTCATGCGGCAGCGCCCATCTGCCACTCCTCTGCCCGAACCTAGCTCCTGCTTTCCTTCCTCCTTCGACGACTAGTGTTTTCCACCGCATCTGTGCAGCGATTATCCATCGCTCATTTGTCATTTTAACAGCTGCTGGCTCAACCTCAACCTCATCCAAAGGCAAAGGCAAAGGTCAATCCGTAGAAATCCCACGCATTGCATAAGGCACCAGGCACCGGGCACCAGCCACAGACACAGCCATTGTTCCACGATTAATCATAGAGGGAGGAGACTGCGAGAGACTGGGAGGAGACTGGGAGACTTTCCGCAATAGTTTTCCTTTGCGCTTCAGAGCGATATTCAATTTATCAAACATCAACAAAAATAATTACAAGACAATTGACGCACGGACGCGGCGATGGGTGGAGTCGGAGGCGAAGTCCTCCCAAGATTGGGGCGTGACCCCGACAGTGACACCCACACATGTGGCAGCCACAGAGAGACTCCAATCGTATCTGGACATTGATCTCCATACAAACAGTTTAACCCCCAAGCCTGAACTCTTGCATAAGGCAAATACCAACCAGACAGAGGGACAGACAGACAGACAGACAGACGGAGAGACAGATGCCTGCCCCCAGGAGGTGCAACAAAATTTGAAATTAGAAATCGATAAATACTCCACACAGAGATGTGAAGTGGGGATGGGGGGACGGCGGGACGGGGGGAATGGTCAACCTCTTCACCCCAAAGTGTCGTTATTTATGGCCCACGGACACATCCTTAGTCACAGGCCGAAAGGAGGAGGCTTTATTCCTCCTTCCTCCTTCCTTGATCGGAAAATCAAACATAAATTTCAATTTTCACCTGCTTTTGAGATCTTCATTGGGCGACAGCGACAGCGACCCCTCCCCTTCCCCTGTCCCTACCCCTACCCCCTTCCGCTCCTTTGGAAATAAACAAATTGAAATGTCAAAAGACATTGAGGCGCCGTTTGAGGCGAAATTTGCAAATTTATGAAAATTATTTCTTTGGACAGCTCTACAGACGGCGGCTGTGGCTTTTCCTCCTTTCCTCCTCGGGTTTTCCATTGATTTACTTTGTCTAATGGCCAAAATTGACACTCAAAAGGCAGCTGCCACACAGAGACTCTCCGACTGGGACTCCTCTCTCTTTCCATCTCTCTCTCTGCCACTTTTGGGTTTGAAGAATGATCCGAGAAAGCGACGCCACTTGAGAGATTTATGGGGAAGCCGTACGACTACGCGACTACGAGACTTCGAGTCTGAGAGACTCCGAGACTCCGAGACTAAGAGACTCCGAGGAGAGTACCTCTGACACTTGTGCCTCCTGACTTTGTCTCCGGCTCCTGACTTTTGCGGGAAAGTTTTGACAGGCTGCTGCACAAAGACAACAGACGGCAGACAGCAGACGGCAGACTGCCTTTTCGTTGGTTACTTTTACTCCCATCAAAATTGTTGGCCAAATTTAATTATATCGAGAGAATTTCCATTGAAGTTTCAGCCTGAAATGCTGTCGGTCTGTCTGTCGCATTTCAGCTTTTACTTGTGGCAATATTAAAACAACAACAAGATTGATAGAACCTCTTTTGAAAGTCGCAACAGCGTCTCCCCTGCGGCTGTCCACCGTAGTCTCGGAGGGACCTTCTACGAGGATCTGGACAGCGACTAGACCTCGGGATGGCCCTAAAAACCTCCCTTATTAGAGGACACCATCACATAACACAAGAATGCCCATCACAAGGGGCAGATCTACCTCCAAAGGATTTAAACTTCCATCTAGACCCATGGAGTAGATCAGGGGCAACTCTTTTTGGTAGAACTTTAACTTTTCTTCGTTCCACTCAATTCTAGAGAATTTTTAAAGTTTTTATTACAGTAAGACCATCAAATGGGAAGATTCGTATGGGTTCGAGTCCTGAATACTGAATCCTGATACAATCCAGATCGTTGAACCTTTACACTTCCCTATAAAAAGTCGTATCAAAGTTTCCTTTCTTCATATATTTTCCATGAATCTAACATCTTGAAACTTTTCCAATTTCCACACACACACACATTCTTAGCTTCGAGTATAAAGTTTTCCCATTTCCATTTCGTTGGGAGACCGGCACTTCCTCTTTCTTTGTATCTACCAATCTCTGCTTTTGCCGCCGCTCTCCCCCTGGTTTTCCTTTTCAGAAATCTATTTTGGTTTCCATTTTATACGTTGATATTTTTCTATAGGCCCCAACCAATTTTCTGCATCATGAAAATTGTTTTGCATTATGATTTTTATCATTATATCTAATTATAAGACCCGAAGAGAACAAAAGAATTCAGCAGGGGACCAGGGCAGAGGGGGGGTGGGGGAGGGGGCTCTGTTTTTAGAGGCTTGGCCCTGGCTTGTGTCCCTGCCGCTCGTTTGGGCAAATACTTAAGATAAATGAAGGCAGAGTCGGAGGTCTTCTGGCCGAGCATGGAGCTGCGGCAGAAGCTCCACTGAAGAGGGGCCGCGCTGCAGAATAGAACTCCAGAACGAAAGAGTAGGAGAGGAGACCTCTGTGCCGCTGACTCTGCCTCTGTGCTGTTGTGGAAGAAGAGGCGCCTCCAAAGTGAGTAAGACTTCAATTGAATGAGGGGGAGGGAGCAGTCGTAAAAGTGGAGGAGGAGGCGAAGGCGGAGGAGGAGGCGGAGGAGTGCCGGCAAGAGGCAGGTGTGGGTTGTTTGCTTATTTGCGATAGTTGGAGGCTCATTACCAGAATGAAAGACCAGAGAGAACCTACCTCCAAGCCTCCAAGCGAACTCCTCCGTAGCCGAAACCCCAGACCCCATACCCCAGACCCCAGACCCAACCTCTAGGCAAAAGTCGTCTATGGCTATGTCTATGGCTATGTCTAAGGCAACATTGTGTGTCTTTATGGTGGTTGTTGTTATTTTGGAGGAACGCCTTTCTCTTTGTTTTTGGTCGGAACCACTCCCAATCTTTGCACGACTCTAAGCAGCGCAATTTTTGAATGCAACTCCAACTGGAGCCGCTCTGTGGCTTTGCGGCTCTGTGGCGTGCCACCCACTTGAGGTTTTTGAGGTTTTGAGGCTGGAAATATGAGAATTTAGAATTTTATGCAAAGTTCGTGACTAATCTGCTGCTGAAACGAAGACAGAGATCCACCACAGCCTCAGCCACAGCCCCAGCCCCAGCCCCTGCTCTAGAGACATTCAAGAGGTCTCGAGCGATTATTGGGGAGCGTACGGTACGGGAAATAATAAAAGAAATCAAGGCAAACAAATTGAAGTCAGGGCAAAGTCGATGCGAGAGTTCTAGAGGATTGAAATCTGATCTGCAGAAGAGCGGCAGAGACACGGAGGTGGTCCGGAGCGATTCGGAGCGGGAGAATGTGGCAGAAAAAGTGAATGTACAGTGGTGTGAAAGTGCTGGAAAAGGGCTTCAAGCTCAAGCGATGATTGGACACAAAAACGGTACAGGTGCTCGCTCGAAGAGCGCTCCTTGACGCCCCAAAGGGGGGGCATATAGAGTGAAAGCTTAACACCTTCTTGAAGCAGGAGATCCGCTTCGGAGAGTGTGGGCCAATAAAAGTCCATCGAAAGAAGTCACTCTATGAGAGATATTTGTTCCCTTAGATTCTTTGAAGAGATCTCAGCTCTTAGATGATATTTCCCATCAATAAATGTCCTAAAAGTAGCCCTTCTTCTCATAATCGTTCCCTTTGTTTTTCCAACAAAAATGAAGACAAATTTCCTTCACTTTTCCCCGTGTCGTATTCTGACTAATTATTCTGGCGATTTCCTTGGCTTTCTCGGGCGTTTTATCATCGAAATTGCAACACATTTTTGGGGCACACACCAATACCGATCGCCCCTCGATAGTCTAGCCGTGACGCACCGCACACACACGTGTCCAATGGATTTTTCCTGGTTATTTTCCCATTTCCCCCTCCACCAATAGCCATTCCGCGTGCTGTTTATTCATGCGAAATGCTCCAACGCCTTGGCTGCGGCGCGGTGCGGCGCGTCTTTGGGCCGAGAAAAAAAAAATAAGTTCTTCTAATGCGTTGAGGCGGCTATTTTTACACATCTATTCCGAATAGAAACACAACAGCCGAAAAGTAGCGACTGTTTTGTGCGGGGCACGTATCTGTATCTCTGTATCTTTCGGATGTCTGTGCTGTGCCGTGCCGTGCCGTGCTGTGCTGTGCTGTGCCTGAGGTTCGTTGACTCACAAGAATGACCAGACCAGAGGTTGAGCAATCGTATAAAATACCAAAATACTAAAAGACTCTTAGGCGCTGCGCTAGAAGAGCGAGACAGAGACAGAGAGAGAGATCGTACATTCATTATCGGAAATGTCAGTGCGTGACCTCGACCGCGTTTTATTCTTCGGATTTTTACAATTTACAATTTCGTATTTCTATACATTTTATTCGGGGTCTTCGGCAACGGCACAACGGCAACGCCTTCTGATTCAGCGTCCGATTTCGCCCCATTCTTTGGTTCTCTTTTGGGCTGTGGCTGTGGCTCTGGCTATGGGATTATGAATAGAACTCTAAAGAACGGACACCCCAACGAATTCAGTAAAAAGACACTGATAAATGCCTGCTAAAAAGAGCGATTAAGAGCCACACCACACCTCAAGCGAAAACAAAAGACAAAAACTATGAAAATTAATCGAATTTTCGTACACTATTAATCACAAGCACAAAACATACAAAAAACCACTTTCAAAA